AGATCTTGGAACTTGCCAGTCTGCATAACAGCATGAGCCAATGCCTTATAATAGATCAATCTCTGCGAGTGTGTGTGTTGCGTGTGTTGTCCGTGCTATTGTTTCTGCTCTCCTTGAGAACCGTGACTAATCATGTTTCACATTAGGTCACCGTGGGGTGGGACGAAAGAACAGCTACATCAGGTGAGATAAAGGAGGTGGAGAAGTGAAGGAGAAGTGCAAGGTCATGGACTTATTTGCATGTGTGTTGTGTGTGTGTATATTTTGGCAGTGAGTGGGGGTTGCTGAATTTCTGCCTATCGTGGGAGCTTAAGCAGGTTCACTTAAACATTAAGAGAGAAAAGGTGATCTCCAAAAGCTGGCAACACTCAAACAGCCAATGTTTATAGTAATAAGCCTGCTGGCAGCAAATAACTCTTTTCTTTTTTTTAATTGAATCTGAGGGTCTTTGATTTTTAGCAAGAAAGCTTAAGTTGTTTATGTACTGTTGCTGTAATGGTTGGACTCCCCCCGATAGCTCATTACCCACATGCCGTGGGGGTCGTTTCTATGTTTTCTTGTCATAACCTTCTATAAAAGCTTAAGTTGTTTATGTACTGTTGCTGTAATGGTTGGACTCCCCCCTGATAGCTCATTACCCACATGCCGTGGGGGTCGTTTCTATGTTTTCTTGTCATAACCTTCTATTCTCTTTACACAGACTGTATTTTGTTTGCTTTTATCTTCTGCAGTGGTTTGGAAAGGAGATGTCTCATTTTAAGTGGTATTAATTATCATCATTAGTTTTTGTCTTCATTCTTTTCTTTTTTTGGTTGGTAAGGGGATCTGAATCCTCGATCCTGGTGTTACCAGCACCACGCTCTAACCAAGTGAGCTAACCGGCCTGCCCTTGTGTCCATTCTTAAACCTATAATTACAAATCTATCAATGTCCAGAACAACAGGAGACATTTTCCTCCCACAAGTGCAGATGAGGAATTTGACTCACCTTCCCCTCTGCCCACTTGCTGCTTCCACCTGTGCTTGTTATTATATTTTGGGTGTAGAAAACCCACCTCTCACTTGTGAATAGCATCAGTCAGCTATCTCAAAATTGCTTTTGGCTTTGCATCCAATTCTGTGTTTATATTTATAAAACTTATCTCATATCTTGGAGATTTCAGGGTTTGCTGCCAGCTTCTGTTTTCTGTTCTTGAATTCTAAACTGTGTTTCTTCTGTCTGATTTGAGAATACCTGGGAGTAATTTTTCCAGGTGGAACACCCACATGCTACTCTTTCTAAGCACTTGTATATTAGAGAATTATTTTCTTTTGCTCTCACATTAAATAATGCCTAAGTCTTAACTTTTCTGTAGACGTATTCCTTGTCTTCAAGAATTTGCGTGGGGGCAGCAGAGGGAAGGGGAAGTCGCTTGCAGTCGAGGGGACCGACTGGACGCTTCTGATTCTTAGCCTAGAGCTCGCTCTCTCCACCACACTTCTTCACATCGTGCTTGGGCAGCCCTTCATAAAATTCATTCTGAACCTGCTTCCTAGACTCTTGCTGGACTCTTAAAGCCACACTTCTCAAACTTGACTGTGCACACAGCCACCCTGGGTCTCTTAAAATGCAGAGTCTGATTCAGCAGATCTGGGAGGGCCTGAGATTCTGCATTTTTAGCCAGCTCCGGGTGATACTGATGTCGGTGCTGATGCTCTTGGTCCAGAGACCCCGCTCTGAGCAGCAGGCTTTAGAGCCTTCGAAGCACCCTCGCGAATGTTCTTTATTCTGCTTGATGCTGCTCATTTTCTGTAGGGGAGGGCAGGGCCTAGAACAGTGGTCCCCTCCCTTCCTCAGTCTCCTCTCCCCTATCACCCCCCATCACACTTCCCCTCTCCCCGTTTTCCCCCTAAGCCAGCCCTGAGGACCTGAGGGTCCTGCCGGGTACCTGTGGACTTGTCCCTCCCTGAAGGGAGGAGCCCATCCACAGCACACATCCTACTCCTGTCCCTGCCATTGGGGTTCCCTAGCCCCCAGGGACAGGGAGCTGGGGTGGAGTGCAGTGGTGGAGGCGGGAGGGGGGACGTCATTCAACATACTGAGCACACGTTTACGGAGCGTGCCTCTGCTGGCTGTGGGAAAATCAGATGGCCTGTGCTCTGCAGGCCACAGGCTGGTGGAAGGGATGAGGGATGGGGTGAGGGCCGGGTGCATAGTGTCAAGGCACCAGGCCCTGGGTCCTGGGGTGGACAGGAAGGTACCATGAGGCCAGGTGTGAGTCAGAGAAGGCTTTGTGTGGGGCTAGGCCTTAGAGAGTGAGTGGTCATAAGCCACATTGGGAAAAAAGAGGGAAGGTGTGCCAGGTGGAGGGAACAGGTCACATGTGAGGCTGTGGGGACACTAAGATCCTTAGACCTGTGGGAGGCGACAGAGCTCTGTGCGCCTGGGGCCCAGCTGGGGAAGGGGAAGGAGTGAAGATGAAGCTGGAAACACAGGCATACACCCCTCAGGGACTGCCTATGTGCCCGGCTGAGGCTGTCCCATGGACGTGGGGACAAAATTCCCCAAACTCCTGCATTCGGCTTCATGCCATTGCTTTTTAAGCAGATGTTCTTAAATCTGACTTTACCTACCTCTCAAGGCCACCTCAAGTTCTGTCTCAGTGAACCCCCATCTCTTGTCCCTTAGTCTGTGGGAAGAACCCCCACCACCACTTTGGCATCTCTCTATGCCTTTGCCTCCATGCTTTGTCACCTTATTCCCTTTGCCAGGAATGTTTTTCTGGCTCTTCACCAGGTTTGTGCCTGCTCATTCTGCAAAACGTCCTCTGCCACTCTGTTCTGACCTCTGTCCCCTCCCAGGCTGGTCAGGCAAAGCATATCAGCTTGCCTGTTTCCCTGTGGATGGGGACTGGATGTGCTCACCTGGTCACCTAACACTTCGTACTGTGACTACCTGTGGGCATCTGGTGGCTATTGCAGGAACAAATGTTGAAGGACCCTACAGTGTCCACCCCTCTCTCCACTCTGGTCTGCCTGTTCCTCTTTTGCTCTGCATCTGGCTGGGTGCAGCATCCCAGGGCCCAGCCAGCTCTTCCCAGTCCTCCACAGATGCCTTTCCTATGGCACCCACTGACCTGATGGGCTGTGCGCTTATTCAAGCAGCAACACTTCTGGCTGAGAAGTCACTAGTGACCAGACCGCCCCTAATTATCAAATCCAGTGGTCCCTAAAACCTGCCCTTTGGCCTGACCCACCTTCCTACTTCCCTCTCATGATGGCTCCCTGATTTGTGCCCGGGTGTCCTCGAGCCCACACCCCTGCTCCTGACCCTGCCCAGGCTGTGCCTCTTATGAAAAGTCCCTTCCCCCACCCATCCCTGACTCCCAGTCTGACTCCTGTTCCCCTTCAACTCATCAATCCTGCCTTACCACCCCAGGGGATAGTAACTCCTCCCTGTCCTCAGCACTCTGCCACAGCACTCGCTGGTGTGTAATTAGGTGTCCTCCGTGGAGATCATTCTTTGTGCATGGTGCCTGGCATGGAGCAGATGTGCAAAAGTACTTGTTGAGTGAGTGTACAAATGTGATCTCCTCCTCCAGGTAAAATTTCCTGAAAGTAGAGGCCGTGCATTCTCCACCACACGGCCAACATATTATGCCCAAATCTGGTTTGGCAGATGTATCTGTTTACTGATAGCTTGACACCACCAACCTTGTACCAGCCCCTTTAAATGGATTGAACACACACACACACACACACACACACACACACACACACACACATTAGGGGCATAAATTTTTAAAAAGCCCAGTGTATAAGCTCAAGAGCTTCCTGGAAATTATCAAGAGAACTTTCTGTGATAATGGTAATGTCTTATATCTGCGCTGTCCAATATTGTAGCCACTAGATACACATGGCTATTGAGCACTTGAAATGTGACCAGTGCAACTGAGGAACTGAATTTTTAATGGTATTTAATTTAAACTAAGTTGAATGTAGGTAGCCACTGTGGCTAGTGGCTGTGCCACTGGATGGTGCAGATTGAGACTACTCCCGGCCTATCCTGTTCTGACCTCTGCCCTTACTCTTTCCGCTCCAGACCCCCAGCCCTCCACCTCTGCCCAGGTGTGCCCTCTACCTGCTTCTGCCCCTCTTGTGTGCAGCTTGATGTGAACCTATTTTTCCACCTCAACCTTTATGCTCTCCTCAGGCACTGTATTTGGCCTCTGGCCCAACATGCCTATGAAGAAGAGACAGCTCTGCTTCTAGTCCACACCCTGACAGCCCCGATAGTGCCTGGTTGCCCATTGAGGACGGGGTGGAACTGACAGCCTCCTGATGGCTTAGGAACGTGGAGGATGCAGCATGTTCTGGACATGCCCAGCCACACGAATGACATCTTCTCTGTCATTGGACCATTTCCACCTGCTCTTGTGGGCACCCCCCTGGGGCTGGGGCAAGATAGGATTTTGACATATGAATTTCTTGGGAATAAGGCCATGGAAATAAAAGAGGCAGACTCACTGGATGCCTTCATCCATCTTATTTTCCTTAGATAACTGACTTACAATGAGGCCCACTTTAATGGAAAACGAAACAGGCAGATGAGACAATGGCATCCTTTGTATGTTTATTATGGTACAGCAAGATTTTCCGAACCAGAGCTGAGTTCTTCTGCTCCCAGCATACTCCTTCCAGGCAGTCCAAAGGACATCCCCAAACATGATATTTAAGACAATTCTTCATTTCTCTAACAGTTACTTTTCGAAGTGCATATATAATAAATAAATAGAAAATATATCTTTGTTCATGGTGACACCTACAAGAAATGTTTACATACAAAACACACTATACATCTAACTCCCGAAAAAGAACCAGCTATTTCGGCAACAGTAAAAAGACAAGCATTTCAGAGGAGCGTTGTTTTCCTTAAAGGCCTAACTCGCTTTAACGCTTACGAACAGAAACAACAACAAGAATGATTTTCTAAGCAAAAGGAGAATTTGCGCTACCAAGAAAATGTGTAGACACTGACTCTTGGAGAATGGTTTAGGAAAGAAGTTTTGTGTACAGATCCTGTACTGTTAAACATATGTACAACTCTGAGAACTTTCAAATAGACACTTTTAAAAAAATGAAATAAGCCAAAGACAGTGGACATTCCTGGCCACCTGAAAGTGATCACACCCTAAGTGGTTCACAGTGTGAGACCCTTGCATGAAAAGAGTTGGGAAACTCAAAACTAGACAAGAAGGACCGGAGGTCACTTTAACTCTCCTCCCCAGCGCCACCACTACTCCCCTTGGCAGAGGTCCTTCCTGTGATTTTAGCCTTTGAAGTGGCCGTGTCCTAAGAGGCAGAGTCCTGTTGCCACCTCCCAGCAGCTGAAAGACCAGGGTGGTGGGAAAGACCTCTCTGGCAGTAAGCTCAACCTGGGGAGCGGACTTGAGGATCGAGTCTCATGTGTGCAGCTGGGCAGAGGGGGCCAAGCAAGCCCTCTTTGAAGGAAAGAGTTTGTGGTTGGGGCAGGAAAGGGGCCACATGTGGTTCATGATGAGACCCAGGGAGAACCTGGTACCTCACGAGAGACCAGAAGCTAGATAGGAGTTTTCCCTCTTTCAGGATCTCTCCTTGCTCTCTCCAGGGGAGACAAGGAGAGAGCAGAATATTAAGCATAGCTGAGAGGGCCTGGGTGGACCCAACAGCTCTTCAGACCTCCAAGATCAGCGCCATTGGCTCATGAGAAATACTCCAGTGTGCCCTGACACCATCTGCTGGGCCGCACTGCAGAGCTGCAGAAACAGGTAGCACCAGTGGAATGGCTGCAGCTGCCATGCACCCCGGGCATGGCCTGGCAGGTGGTGTGAGCCAGATGAAGGCTAAAGGGACCGCCTGAACCAGGAGGAGGTGGGTTTGTGTGCACAGAGGAGCAGGAGGGAGAGAGTCATTGGCTAATTGTCCTACTCTGATCATTTCCTTCCCTTCGAGGGGACCTGACCCCATATCCAGAAGCTGCTCCAGGGGTGCCTAAGCACCCCGGGACACTTGTGGAGGCAGTGCCGTGTGCACCAGGGTGGAGTCCCACCCTGGCCATGTGCTTGGGGTCTCGCTTTCCCCATCTGTAATATGCAGGCTTTGGACTAGGTCCTTTCCAGCTCTGAAATCCTGGCTCACTGAGAGCAAGCATGCTTGGGTCTCCTGGAGTGCTTTTCTGCTCAGTTCCCTGGATGAAGAGCAAATGGGGCCCCACACAGGAGCTCACGTCTGCAGACTCAACTCCACCCTCTCCCGGAGTCTTGGGTGGGCTGGCTGGGGGACCACATTCCTCAGTGCTCTGGGCATGATAAGCCCAGCTCAGCCCTCCCTTCTGAGCATGCTTCTCCGTCATGAGTGAGCCAGCAAGTCGAGGGCAAAGGGAGACCCTGCAGTCACCCAGCTTGGGCAGATGGTGGCAGGAAGGGCTCAACCTCTGAACCAAAGGCTGCCTCATTGCTTTCTACCAAAATGCCCCCCACCCTTCATTCCTGCAAGCGTCGTTGCCACCTCCTGTGAGAAGCCTTCCTGACCCACTTGGGCACACAGGATCTCTCCCTCCTCTGAACTGGTATTGGTCTCTGTCCTACCTCTGCCTGGCATCAGAGTGCACGTGGCCCTGACTGCCCACCCCCCAGATGGCAGGCTCTTCACACCAGGCATTAGTCCACCTCTCCATCCAGTGTGCCCCAGGCATCCAGCATCATGGGTGCTTGCTGAAAAGAATGCTGTCAGCCACTGCTGGGTTCCAGGGACAATGTGAAAAGCTGCAGACTTCTGGAATCTCAGAACTAAAGGGCCTTTAACAGTCACCTTGTCCAAGTCCCAACCTGCCACTCAAAGTCTCTTGAAAGGTGGGACACCTCCAGAGGCAGGGCTTACCTCTTCCCCAAGGGTGGCTGGTTTCATCTTGGTGAGCTTTGTCTACACACCAGCTCCTAATCCCATGAAGATTGGTTCTTGCTTATAGGAATAAAGATCTCCTTAAGGCCAGCACCCTAATGTCTGTGGGAGACCATGGGGACCTGTGAGTGACCCAGCCCCCTAGGCTAGCCCTAGCCAGGTCAAGGCTCCTGCCAAAATGGACCTCTGCTGCCAGCACAATCCAGGTCTCCCCATGTGGTCCCCACACCCCCACTGAAGAGGCACAGATAGGAGAGAAGCACCCAAGAGGCTGCAGGAAAGAGAAGTTTCCAGCATCAGCCAACACCGCCCCAGGGGCTGCAGGTAGATATTTGAGTAGGGGCAGGTGGCAGCACCAGGGATCTCTGATATCCTTCCTTTGGCCCATCAGGGCTGATGCACGGCCTTCCCAGGCAGCTGCTGGACAGGGGCTGGGGGGACCAGCCATCCTGCCCTGGTCCACTGCCAAGAGTCCACCGTCACAGTCCACTGTGGGTGGCATCGCAGTGGCAGCTGTCCTTACAGCTTCTTCTTTCTCACCACAGGGATGGGCACAACTTGGAAGATTTTGGCATTGTGGTCCTCGGTGTCCAGAGTCACCCAGGTAGGCCGGAAGCTGCCTTTGAAGCCAACAAATACCATTTTCTCTGAAAAGCAATGATGAGTCACATGAGCAAAAGTCCTATGAGAGAATGGCGACACCCCGCCCCTTTCCAGGGTGCCCTGCCCCCACCAGTTACCCCCCGGCCACACTGGATGGGGTCCCCCTGGGAAGAGCTCCGTGCCGAGCTACTGGTGGTACCTGACATCTGCATGGGGCATGCAGGGTCTTATCTGAGCCTCGTGGTCACCTAGGCAGGGTGGTGGCTCTGCTTTCCACAGGACAGCCATACACCATAGGCAGTGGAGAGGGCTAGGAGCGGGGAGACTTCCCAGGAACCCTGCCCACCTTCGAGCTGACTCTATGATCACCAGCAAGTCCCCGCCCCTTTCTGAAGCCCAGCGTCCCCTCCTGTCAAACAGTGGCATTTGTCTGTAAGATCTCTTCCCAGCTCTATCATTCTGTGGCTTTAGAAGCAGGTCCTAAGAAGTGAAGGAATTTGTCCAAGAGCAGGGAGTACATGCTGCAGCCCAGGTTAGAGCTTCAGATCCCTGAACCCCACACAGCTCTTCCTGTCTGACAGTTCAGAGCGTGACCATCCAAAGGGCACAGGAATCCATGTCTGCACTCAGGAATGTCCCCCCTGGCAGACAGCACAGGGTTATCCTCACTGGGCAAGTGCCACTCAACTTACGTCCCCTTACATACACCAGCTTAATTTTTTTGTTTGTTTGTTTGTTTTTTTTAAAGATGACCGGTAAGGGGATCTTAACCCTAGACTTGGTGTTGTCAGCACCACGCTCACCCAGTGAGCGAACCGGCCGTCCCTATATAGGATCCGAACCCGCGGCCTTGGTGTCATCAGCACCGCACTCTCCCGAGTGAGCCACGGGCCGGCCCTACACCAGCTTAATTTAAAAGACAGAGGCCCAAAAATGATTCCAGGACTGGGCTGGAAAAGATGCTTCTCTTTTCCTGGTGTTCTTTGGCTGGTCTGAAGGGCTTTCGTTATTCCCAGTTTTTCACTGGTTGCTGCCTGGGATAAACATCCCACATGATGGGCTGCTGGTTTTGATGTCTTTCATGGTCAGGATGGCGTAATAGCTAAGAACCCTGGCTTTGGATTAGGAAGATCCGAATCCTTAATAAGTGTCTTAACCATCTAATTCTCTAGTTTCCTCATCTTAAATGGAAATAATAGTTAGTCGCTGCTGCACAGGTTATTAAAGAGCATGTGAGATCTTTGTAACCTGTTCAGCGAGGTACAAGGCTAGACACTGAGTGGTAACGACAGTGATCATTATCACTGCCATCTGTAGAGCTGCTCCTCCTCCCCTCCCCACCTCCTCAAGGACTCTGAACACGGTCTGTGACGATGGTAATGAGTGTCACGCCGACACTTCTGTCCTGGCTGGCTTCTTCCAGCACAGCCTGCGCTAGGGAAATCTGCATGAGGCTTCATCACAGAAGAGCTACGTGACCTTGGACAAGTCATGTAGATTCTCTGGGTTTGAATTTTCTCCTTCTCTACCTATCTCAGAGGAATAAACAAGAGTTTTGCAAACTGCAAACTGATGTTGGGCATCAGCTGGCATGTTGAGGAAGACGTAGGGCTCCTGGCCAGTCTGAATAGCAGGAACTGGGTAGGGAGTCAGTAAAGCCACCATCTGATGACACTTTTTTTGACCAAAGGGCCACTTGCTGAGCAGATGGGTGAACAGCTCTAGCACTTTTATTTCAGTGTCTGGTCACAAGTTAAAATAAAGCTGCTGCAGTGTAGGGATGGTGGGTAGGTGGCATCTTGCCCGTTCATTCCACAGACCACCAGTTGTGTTGAGGATTTTGAGGCTGTACCCAAGTTTAGTGGGAAAGAGTGTTCTGGACTCATCAAGGGATAACAGCAACCTCCATGCCAGGCATTTGCCTTCTCTGGTTTCATGGTCAACTTAAACCCCAGTCCAAACCCTTACCTTTCAATCTGAGACCTTTGTCTGCCCCAAGTTTTTCCAGCACTCTGGTCCACGGTCCTCTGGAGATGCATCTTCCCCTCGATGCCATGAGGACTATGGAACTGAGCGAGAAGGAACTAATTAGAGGACTGGAAGGAGAGGGCGAGTCAGAGCATGTGAGGAGGGATGTTGGACAGTGCACAGCAGGACTGGAGTTAGCAGCTCCCAGAGGCCCGAGCAGGGATCTGGGAAAGGGCAGCCTCTCCCGCATGCTGAGCTGACGGACTCTTTCCATGTGGTGACGAACATCCTGAGCACCCCTCCCACACATCTGGCCATAGTCGTGCCCGTGGCCTTCTCTGAGTCTAGACTCAGCTCACTGCTTTCACATGTCTGTCCCCACGCAGGACAGAGTCAGTACATAGAGCACACCATCTGGGAACCACACCTACACCAGGGCTGGGCACACAGTAGGACTTCAATATGCATTCCTTCATTCGAATGTTCTCAACCCTGTTTGGATAGAACCAGCTAGAAATATGGCAAAGTAGAAAGCCAGAACAGAGGGAAGGAAGCAAGAAGGGGAAGGGGGGAGGGAGAGGGGAGGAAGAGGGGATGTGACGGGAGGAGGAGGGGAGCATCTGTCAAATGATAAAGCCATCAGGAGCTCCCTGGGGTACTGGAGTCTCAGGAGCCAGCTGCATTGTCATCACCTGGGCGCTCATTAGAACTGCAGACTCGACCCACAGCGGGCCTTCTGAATCAGAATCTGCGTTTTAACAAGGTCTGCAGGTGATTGTGTGCACATTAATGGTTGAGAAGCCCTGTGCTAGAAGATTTCTCCTGCAGCCCATGTTTCCTGCAGTGTCTTCTGATGGTCATAGGCTTGGTCATCCTCCTCTGAGCTACAGAAAGAGCACGGCCAGATCTGAGAACTTTCTGGAAGAACACCATGTAGTTATCACGTGCTCAGGCTGACCTGTTATGTTCATGTCTCCTCCCTCTCTGGTCAGGCAAGACAGGGTTACTACCTCCATTTTGCACATGGGGAGATGGAAGTAAATAGTTACAAGTATCTGAGAGGACCTGCCAGAGGGGAGGTATGCTTGGAGCCATGTGTGTGCCCAGCCTTGCAGAAATCCTACTTGGGGACAAGGAGTATCTCCTTCCCACCTGGGGTTGTATTCAGACCGAAGTGCAGAGAACACAGCCTTCATGGTGGTAGACACCGCATGCTGGCCCAGACAGGAGGAAGGGAGCGCCCCCCCTGGGAATGGAAACCGGGGCAGAAGCTCAGTGGGGCTTCCAGTTCACTTCTCAAGGGATCTCCATAACCACAGACCACAGTCCAGACATGGGAAAACTGTATAAGATTCTGGAACCTGTTGTTACCCCCACTTGTGTCCCACTGGGAGCAGCAGAAAAGCTCTTACCATGCAAAGGGTTTGTGTGCAATGGGACAAGTGGGAAGGAGCTGGGAGCTGTCTCGGGCTCTTCAGGAAGGCTGCAGACGGAGGCCCAAGGGATTGGTGGGGCGAGGCTACTGAGGACAGAGCCTTTGGATTCAGGCTCTGTTCCCAGGAAGATGTTTTCCCACTGTGCCATTTCAGAACGAAAGCTAAAGGCCCTTTGGCTGAGCCTAGCCTTCCTGCTGGGGAGGACTGAAACCAGATTCGTGCCCTCCAGCCGGGGATCTGGGTTAGCTCACAGGAGTGGGACAGGGAGATGGGGCTTCTCGGATCACCACGGCCTCCTGACGGTGCCTGGATGCTCGCCTGCCAATGTTAGGTGCCCCTCTCTGCCTGGTATGCGATCCTTATGGCCTCTAAGTCCCTGTACCAGCAGCACATAGTCCTCCATGGGGTGACAATTCCCAGAAGCCATCCTTGATGTTTTTGGTGTGAGCAGCTGCCCTCTTCTTTCCCTAGGACCCTGGGGTCAGTGGTGGCCCTGTGGATGGGGCAGGAAGGGTAGGCAGGACCTGCTTGGCTCCATTCCCAGCTGCTTTCCAGGAGATCACAGAGGAGTCTGGTGGTGCCCAATTCCTGCCTGGGTGCCCAGTGCTAGCCCAGCGAGGGCTTCCCCAGGAGAGGCATACTAGGGCTGCTGCATGGGCTGGCAGGAGCCTCCCCAACTGTTGTAAACACAGCAACTCTACATCTGAGTTTTTGATTCCATGCTTCTGCATCCTGTTTCATTTCAAGAAAAAGTACTCTGGCCAAGAAAGGCATGAAAATTACTGATGTCTAGATGATAAATATATTTTTCCCAAATTGGTAAATTGCATCCTTCCATATGAGTCTGCACATGAAAAATATAATGTTAAAGAAGCACCTGATGGGGGAATGAAGGTGGGACTAAATGTGGTTAAGCAGAATCTCACAGGGTGTCCAGTTCATGTTGTGCCTCTTAGCATCTGGGAAGTACATTTGTTTTCATTCAATAACTGTTCACTCTGTGTCAGGTGCCACATTAAGCACGTAGACTTTCCACCAAGTGTGGCTCCTGAGTGAATTCTATACCCATTTAAGTAGCCTGGTACTATGCTGGAAATGCAAAAGTGAGTTAGATGTGGTCCCAACATCAAGTGCACATCCTTGATGGACCAACAGGTGTGTCCACCAGTCCTATTGTGAGTAGTGCTTTAGCAGAAGTGAAACTTTCTGGTTGACTTGGAAGCGACCTCACGAAGGAGGTGAATGTGTGTTAGACCTGGAAGGTGGTAGAGAGTTGCTAAGGAGAGGACACAGGTGATCCGTGCATGTAAGATGTTCAAACCAGCAGCCCGTATGGAAGATGGATTTGAGCTGGGGAGACTGGCAGAGGGAGGCCCATTAGGAGACTGTGCCAGTGGTGTTGGTGACAGACAGGGAAGGCCTGGATGGAGCAGCAGCAGAGGACCCCGTGGAGGAAGCTGGCAGGAGAGCAATAATGCAAGTATAGTTGACAGGCTGTGGTGACAGCGCGGGGGAATGACCGAAAGAGAAGATGCAGCACGATGTCCAGACTCTGGTCTGACTCTCTGGATGGATGATGACAACTTAACCCAAATAGGGAAAACAAGAGGAATCGTTGGTTTGGGAAATTTAAAAAATAAAAATAAAAAAGGATGGGAATTCAGTTTCATGCGAGACATCAAGTAGCGGTTGGACAGGAATGTCTGGTGCTTAGGGAAGAGGTCTGGGCTGGGACACTCAGAAGCCACCAGCGTTCGGATCGCACTGAAGGTGTGGGAGGGGATGAGGTCATGCTGGAGAGTGTGGAGATGGGGCAGAGGGCCGGGGCAGCCTCCCCATCTGTGACGGGGCAGTCCCCTCAGCCTCAGCTGACCTACATTCACGACAGCCCTGGCTCCAACAGCAGCGTCAAGCCATGGACGTTTCCTGATCCCGCACCCAGGAATTGTGGGCAGACTGTCGAGACTCCCCGAGTTTTCCCAGCCTGGTCTGTGAAGAAGGCCTCAGAGAGAGGAAGGGGCCCAAGTCCAGGGCTCTGTTGTGCCCACGATCAGTTGCAGAGGCAGAGGCACAAACTTACTTGTCAGGGATGGCCACCACATAACTGAAGAGCTGCCACGGGATGCCCTGCAGAATGGAATTCCTGAAGCTGGTGTGGCTCACCACGTGCCCTCGGCTCCCGTCAATCACCACCACCTGGATGCCATCTTCTGAGCTAGGGTACTTCCTCCCATCCACCTGGAGAGCCAGAGCAACACAGGTGTGAGGCAGGGTCCTGACGGCAGCTGGGGCCCGAGGGTCTCCTGCCTGAGCAGTTCCCAGGCAGATGCTAAAGACAGAGGTTGCCTATGCAGCTGTTAAAAGCATAAAACCCACTTAATTCAATTCCTTGTACCCTCTGTAGTGGGTTGAATAGTGGCCTCCAAAAGATATGTCCAACTGGAACCTGTGAAAGTGACCCAATTTGGAAATAGGATCTTTGCAGAAGTAATTAAAAGATCTCGGGATGAAATCATCCGGGATTTTTAGGGCGGGCCCTAAGTCCAATGATAGGTGCCTTTATAAAAGAAAGGCAGAGGGAGATGTGGGACTCAGACACACAGGAGAGAAGCTCACGTGAAGACAGAGGCAGACACTGGAGTGATGTGTCTGAAAGCCAAGGAATGCCAGAGATTGCCAGCAGCCACCAGAAGCTGCAAGAGGCCTGGAACAGATCCTCCCTCAGAGCCTCCAGAAGGAACCAACCCTGCCTGCACCTTGACTTTGGACTTCTGGCCTTTAGAACCATGAGAGGACACACTTCTGTTGTTTGGAGCTACGAGTTTGTAGTAATGTGTTACAACAGCCCCAGGAAACGACCTGTCAATGAGCAAGCCAGGACCCTGCAGGGCCAGAGACGCTTACTTCAATATAAGCAATGTCACTGCGGAGGTGGAAGAAGTGCTGCCTGGAACTTTCCATCTTCACCTCCAAGAAGTGGTCCTTTGTCTTCTGGAAAACAAACAAGCCCGCCGTGGAGGTTAGGTTTGGGCGGTCCCCTCACTTCCCCGTCCGCCCTGTCACAGGAAACGGGTTGTGGAGCTGAGCTGCTGTCAAGAGAGGAGCCTAATTGGGCCTGGGCCCGACTGAAGGCAAAAGGGCACCAGCCACTCACCAGCTGAGAAGCAAAGAGCTTCTTGGGCATGGGCACGTCCACCACTGCCCTCTCGGCGAACCTGGGGTAGGCCGTGGCTGTGCAGTCGCTGATGCCTGCGTTCTGTGGGATCAGAGCTTTAATCTTGATTCTCTCACAGCCTTTCACAGAGCAGAAGGCAAACTTCTCTCTCTCGTTCTGAGCTTTCAGCTTCAGGAACAACAGCCTGCACACAGGGAGCGTCACTGGGCACGTCGCTTTGGCATTCGCAACCTCCTCCCCGCCCCCCGCAGCCCCGGCATTTACTATGTGCTGGTCACTGTGGTTACACCCAGTAGGCCTTACAAAACGGAGCCATGTCCACCAGAGGGTTATGTGTAGTTGGAGAAATAAAAAACAAACACGTCGAACAAAAAGCCATTAATAAGGCTCATATTCTGAGCATGTTCTATATGCCATGCCACGCACATACCATAAACCGGCATCATTTATTCCTCAAACACTCCTGTCAGTAGGTACTATTATCATCCTGACCTTCCATGTGTAGTTGGAGAAATAAAAAACACGTCGAACAAAAAGCCATTAATAAGGCTCATATTCTGAGCATGTTCTATATGCCATGCCACGCACATACCATAAATCGGCATCATTTATTCCTCAAACACTCCTGTCAGTAGGTACTATTATCATCCTGACCTTCCATGGCTCAGAGAAGTGAAGTGGCTCACCTAGGACCAAGCACGTGGGAAGTGACCGCTGGGATCTTCCATCCCATCACTGTGCCTGCTGAGGAAATGCTGTCAATCCTCCTAACTGTACTTCTCTCCAAACCATAGCATATTCCAAGAATTATTTTATGATTTACTAAGAATAGTAATTATTATTGTGAAGGGGGCTGACTCAGAGTTACAGGGAATTGGATTATGAGCTTCCTAACTGTACTTCTCTCCAAACCATAACATATTCCAAGAATTATTTTATGATTTATTAAGAATAGTAATTATTATTGTGAAGGGGGCTGACTCAGAGTTACAGGGAATTGGATTATGNTTATGTGTAGTTGGAGAAATAAAAAACAAACACGTCGAACAAAAAGCCATTAATAAGGCTCATATTCTGAGCATGTTCTATATGCCATGCCACGCACATACCATAAACCGGCATCATTTATTCCTCAAACACTCCTGTCAGTAGGTACTATTATCATCCTGACCTTCCATGGCTCAGAGAAGTGAAGTGGCTCACCTAGGACCAAGCACGTGGGAAGTGACCGCTGGGATCTTCCATCCCATCACTGTGCCTGCTGAGGAAATGCTGTCAAGCTTCCTAACTGTACTTCTCTCCAAACCATAACATATTCCAAGAATTATTTTATGATTTATTAAGAATAGTAATTATTATTGTGAAGGGGGCTGACTCAGAGTTACAGGGAATTGGATTATGAGGAAGCCATGGTACTAAGTTGGGATTTATTTTCATTGCTCTTTTAGCTCAGAAAAATGCCTTCGAGCTGAGTCCCACATCTGACACATTAGGAGCGAGGGTAGGGGTTCTCGAGCACAGACTCCTCTCTGAGAGCTGATCCTGTGCTGAGCCCAGCTGGCCCAGGGAGCTGTGGCCCCCATGCACCCACCACAGAGATGATGGGACCGGGGCACATGCTGGGCTCACAAGAGGGGCCGTTTATTGGCTACCAAGAAGATTCTCCCTCTCACAGATTAGAACTAAGACACCCAGCGAGTCTTGTCAACTACTAGTTGGTGCTCAAACAAAAAGGCTACCTGGAGTCAGGGCTGGCACAACTATTATGTCCCATGTGCCTGCTGAGGAATCGAGAGGGGAAGGCAGCCCACAGCAAGAAGTTGACATAGAGGTCAAGCATGCGTGTGTATGTGTGTGCATGGACGTGTGTGTGTGTGTGTGTGTGAATGTGAGGAGGGCTTTGCTGTTTTTGGACCAGTGTCTATGAGGCCTGTTGGGTTTTTATTTCTCGCAGATGCCTTGGTTTCCTCTCAGTACACCTCCATTTATTTGAGCTCACTTGAGTGGCTTTATGTTTCAAGCCATCCACACCAACTTCATGTTTCTTGCATCAAGCGTTCACTGAATAAATTAGAAGTGGACCTGTGCAGAGGTCTCAAGCTCATGGCTGAGAGAAGAGCATCCACCTCCCCACCCCGCACCCTGCATCCCAGGCTCCGCACGCTGAGGGAGCTGGGGCGGTGGATGGGCGCCCCCTTGAGACAGCTTAGGAGGAAGGCAGTTCCGTGCAGCCCCTGGTCACGCTGCCACTGGGGGCTCCCAGACATGGTTGGAAACCACTCCAGGAGACCAAGATGCAGAAGTGTGATTGGCCCTAGGGCTTCTGCACAAGACTTAACAGTATTCAAGTTTCCTTGTTGCCATAATATATCAGATTACTTAAACTGCGAGGAACCTAAAAGACCATCTGGCCCACACCCCTGATTTTATAGATAGCAGCTGCCTTCCAGTAATCCTGACCTGCAACTTGGATGTGTCAGAGTCGGCTGAACTGCCCTGGTGCCAGGTAAACCCAGGCTCAAATCCTGGCTGTAACCAGGTAATGTTTCGTAGTAGTGTTACTGATGGCCATACACCTTAAATACTAGACTTATAATTAGGTGGCATCTGGCAAACTCAGCTATCCAGAACACAGTTAAAATCACTGGAATGTTTTTTTTAACCTTGAAAAATTTAGAGATGATTCAGAGTTTATATGTTTCACACGGTGGGACCCCCTCACTTTCAGCCTATGTATTTTGTATTTTACCCCTAATTATAGCAAGCTGGTTATCAAGTGTTCAGCCCACAGTAGATTAGAAGATAGCCACTGAAGGCAGGTGCTCTGAACCTGAGTAAGATATAACAAATTTATAAGGCAGAAAGATTAAACTCAGACCTAGGAATTCAAAAACCTCAAGAGTCTGGAGCCCTTCTCCACAGGAAACAAACATCCTACGAGCCCCTAAGGGTGATACTGAATTAAAGCACAACATAATCAATAGGCATAGTGATAAATAAACTAAGCTACCAGAAAAAGTTGAATTATGCAGCAAAATCTGCTTAAAGGTGACCAGGGGACAAATCACAGATTTTAAAAAGTTTTAACCAAACAGATTCCACTTGTTTAGTGGCAGTTTCCATTTGAAAATTTTATGTCTTTGGAACGTCCTATTTTCCATGATCCTAAAAGAAGAAGAAAATAAGCATGGACGGTGTTACAGGTCTTCACCTTAATTTTTTAATCATTATACTTTATACCGGTGTGTGGGGAATATTAATTCCTCCTACTGTAGTTTTCATATGGAAGGATTTTTCTAAATACTCCTCCTGAACTCTGCCCTGTGCTCTTGTCCACTTCTGGGGGCAGTGACTCATCTGACATGGGTTTGGGGAATGTAGCTCAGCCCACAGAGCGCGGGCATTCTGGCCTGCCCTTCCACGCCCTAGGTCTGGGGGCTGGGCTCTATGTGGGGAGCCTGTGATGGCTCGGTGCTGCCTGGGGCTGAGGAGTACAATTGGGGATGGTACTGGGAAGCTCCATCATCAATCAAACTATAGTTCCCTCTCCACCTGCCATCTTGTCTGCCCCACAATTTGGTTTAGAACTTGTGCGGGCAGGAAAAGGGTTGTTATTTATTGCCCCAACACCAACATTTTACTTAATGCTTTTGATTTTCAAATTTTAATTTTCTCTTCATAAAATTGATACAGCCACACCCCACACCCCTCTTTCAAGAAAAGAAAGAGCATCTATTATCTATTTCTTTATCATTTATTTCAATATAAGAATAGAAAAATGGCCATAAAATGATCTTTTGCCCTTACTTCTCAGAGGGTTTGCTATCAACAGCTTCATCTCTTTGGAGATGTGTTGGCATTCTTAAGATATTAGACTAAATTTCTTTTTAGGGGAGAGGACAGTCTCCAAGAACAGATTCTTTAATTCCATTATATCTCTATTGAATAAAACCTAATGCAGCTTAGCAAAAGGGCAAGGGCTTGGGATACAGATAGGTCTAGGGTCAGATTCAGCTGTACCAAGTTTGTCCTGTGGTCTCTGAGCAAGTCACTCTTATTTTCTCTGTCCCTTCTTTGCCCATCTATAAATTAGAGCTAGTATCATCTGCTCCAACTGTTGTTGTGAGGATTTGAGATCGTGTACCCTGTTTTCTGGATTCCAAGATTTACTGCCTTCACTTTTTTCCTTAAAGTGCATATAGGTATATGCCCTATAATCCACATGTACATTTAATAGTGTTTTTTTTTACTTTCAAAGCTTAACAACCTTAAATGTCATTCGTGCATGGTACAATCAACCTTAGAATCAAAGAGCCTATGAAAATATCCTGCATTAATTGTCACTGACTACATGGTCGTTCCTGGGATTAATGGAAAGACCACGGGAACAAAATGAGGTCGAGCCACTTTTCTGCAGCCACGTGGGAACCTCCTCACCCCGAGTCCTCGTCCCAGTAGTAGTGGCTCCTGCCAGGATAGCTCTGCTCCACTTTGTCCATCTGCAAGGTCCTCACGAAGGTGCCCGTCTTGGAGGTTTGCTTCAGCAGGCGATTGTGAACATCCGAGAGGATGGAGAAGGTGGTGCCTCGTGGGTAGCAGAGCCCCACTCGGATCCAGTCGCCCCTAGGACCAGACGAAGGGCCAAGTTACAAGCAAGGATGTGTGGGCCACAGGGCCTTCAGGGAACACCTCGTAGAGAGACCAGAGAATTCTCCACCAAATGGCACCTCCATTTTTGAATGGGGAATTTTGAAAGAACACTTGCTACTGGTAATGACTGAATTGCATACTGTACAAGGAGAGAGGAAAGACAGCGGCTGCAGTGAGCAAGGAGGATCATCGGGATGGGTCATCTCAGGGGCCTACGCTGGGGATTCTCCACATGAACTCGGGCTGGGAAAAAGCCACTCTTTCAACTGGACTGGGGTTAGAGAGCACAGGCTCTGAAGGACCTGGGTTCGGCCCCTTCCCGGTCCCGCATGGTCGTAGGGCCCGTTTCATCTCTTTGAGTCCCATTTCCCACATCTGATAAAAGTCTATCTCACAGGAATACAGTGACGAGTACATAGCGCGCATGGGGAATATTTGAACATATATACAGGAAGCCCTATCCAGATGCCTTCAGCAGAGCCTGATTCCTTCTCTGTGAAGTGGTGACGGTAACACCCAGATATTTTTTGCCATTTGTCGAACAGTTGGTAATGCCAGGTCCTGGGCGAAATGCTGTCATTCATCATCTCAGTCAATCCTCGCTGCGCTCCTGTGAGGGGATTCTATGCCCATCTCAAAGACGCAGGAAACTATAAGAGGTTAGATGCCCTGCCCAAGGTCACCCATGCCCAAAGTGGGGGCTCAGTGTGCCCTCTGATTCTTAACTCCTGGGTGATGTCAGGACCCCAAAAGCTAGCCTGTGAGTGGCAAGCCCAGGACTTTGCAACAAGACATTGTTATCACCTCTGTCTGTCTTGAGCTCAGCCAGAGCAGCTCTCCAGGTCACACTGTGCCCGGCCGGGCACCCACTCACTTGTTGAAGTTGATGAGCCAGATGGCAAGCTCGGCAGGGGCCGTCTGGTCCCAGTGGATGGTGTAGCCCTTCTGCAGAGTGATGACTGGCTGGTACTGCTGGTAATGGGTGCTCCTGGTGAGGGCTCCCTCCAGAAAGAGAGGGTGGCTGGGGAAATCGTTCTTGATGATCTTCATCCGCAGGTTACTGGTCTTGTAGGCCTGAATGTACATCTTTCAAAACCCAAAAAGGAAACACACAATGAGCCTGTTGCAAGGGATTATTCCAAGAGTGTCTGGTTAACATCTGATTACAGACCACACTTTCACCGATCTTCATCCGCAGGTTACTGGTCTTGTAGGCCTGAATGTACATCTTTCAAAACCCAAAAAGGAAACACACAATGAGGCTGTTGCAAGGGATTATTCCAAGAGTGTCTGGTTAACATCTGATTACAGACCACACTTTCACAGGCACTTTCTCTTTACACAGGCCTTTTAGAAGGCTTGATGAAAGGCCAAATAAGGGGACATCTCTTTCTGCTGGTGGATACAGCCCAAGCCATACTGTGCAAGCCAGCTAATGCTTTCTGTGCCTCTTCAAAAACGCGCTCTGTTGAGGAGCCACCAGTGGAAACTTAAGAGGTGTTTTCTTGATAGTCAGATGGCAAGTTTTGGAAAAGAGAGAGAGGTGGAAGGAGAAGGAAGGGAGAGAGAGGGAGAGAGAACTTTTATAGTTCTACCACAAATGCAACTCGCCTTTAATCGACAGGTGCTCTGCCTGCATTTGAGAGCATGCCGGGTGTGTTGCCCCAGTTCTCCCCTGGCTCTCTGTGTCTGCCCTTGTGTCAGTCCATGTGGATGTCAGTACACGCTGGAAGGATGAATGGTGTCTCATTTCAGAGAAACAACTGAAAGCGAGACAGTCAGCCACTGAGTCCCGGGGACCAAAGAGCCCAGATGCTTTAGTCCAGTCTCGGTTTAAAACAGTGTGTTCTGTTTTAGGGCACATCCTATATTCATAAGGCGGCATCCGTGCAGCTGTGACCAAGATAGAGCATCACACCAGTGTGCAATGACACTGTGCCTTTGGAAGGAAGGGGCTATCTTCCGCTACAGTTTTATCACATATAAGATGGAAAGAGAAACTTCGACCCCACCCATCTTCTGGAATTGTCATGAGCATCAAAAGGTAAAGGTATATTAAAGCATTTTGTAAGCTCTAAAGGGAGGAGATTATTAATGATAACTAACCCGTAGCTAGTTATGGTAACCTGGCAAGCTCCAGCAATCAGCCCTTTTCTATACAAGACGAGCAATGCATCAGAAAGAAAGGGTGGAGAAGGGAAATAAAGGCTCTGCCTGGGATACCTAGTCCTGAGCAGTGGTGCGGGATAGTGCTGAAAGTGTGTTCGCAGGCTTGGGTTTCATCATTTTCCAATTATTCAGGGCATGACTCCCACCCATCAGCTCCCTTCTGCCTCCATTTCCCTTATCTTCCTTAGACCATCACGTCAACCACTCACTCCCATTAGCATCTTGGCCCTTGCCCTGTCAACGCAGGCAGCAGAAGCCTCACGCTGGATCATCCCACAGGTCAACCTCCTCTCCCAGGGCTCTGGAGCAGAGCTGAAAAAATCCCACAGCCTGGGAGAGAGAGGCCTCGTCAAACACACGTCTCCAGTCTCCGGTGGGTTTTCCGCACTGCCAGGCGCTCCTTCTACACGTCTCTGGTCAACATTTTCCACTCTACAGCAGCTCTTCCAAACCTGTATCACTCTCTGCAGGCCCTCCTCAGGCCCATTCCCCAAATTTTCAGCACATGACCTCACATTCTGCTGCAGAAAAAAACACCCTCAGCTTCCTGCCCCCTCCCCTGTCTTCCTCGGGTCCCCTCTCCTGCTCAATGCCAGCCCCTCCTACCTCCCCCAGCACCTGCTCCCCCAGCTGCCCCCATGGCCCTGTTTCCCTCAGCCTGGCATTGGCCCCTCTCCATCTCTCCTCCAACTCCACACCACCGTTTATTTTCCAACACCCTGATTGTTGATTTCCACAGTGGTGATAATAATTTCTGCCTAGTAGGACACTTATGGGGACAACTTCATTCATTCAAGTTTCCTTCCCCCTCTGGGGCCACCCAGCTTGCAGGGCTTCCCTCCTAATCTGACAATTCTTCATCTGCTCAGGCCTCTCTCTCCTTACTGATTTATTCGTCAGTCATTCACCCTAATATCAGCAGTGACGATAATAGAGTAACGGCTAACTAATATTGTCAGTCTGCCATGTTCCCTGCACTGTCCCATACAGAAGCTGTTGGCCACATGTGGTCACTGAGCACTGGAAATGTGGCCAGGGTGGCGCAAGACCTGAATTTTTAATTTTACTTTAATGAATTTAAATTTAAATGTCAAAAAAAAAAAGCAGTGTAAAATATTTTTTCCATTAAGCCAACATTATTGTTGTGTAGGGCTTTGTTGAAAATCAGCATGACAACTGAGTGGCCTGTAAATGTAAAATATACACTGGATTTTGAATACTTAGAACAGAAAAAAGAATGTAAAGTGTCTCATTAATGATTTTTTTTTGTATTGATTACATGTTGAGATGATAGTAATTTGAGAATAGGAGTTATTATTATATTAAATTAAATTATATTAAAATATTATTGAAATTAATTTCTCCTATTTCTTTTTACTTCTTCACATGGCTACGAGAAGATTTAAGAACACATGTGTGGCTTGCATTATATTTTTGTTGGATAGAGCTGGTGAAGCATTTTGCATGTATGACCTAAGACATCCCTAAAATCTCATTAAGGAGATTCGGCTATTATCCCAATTTTACAGATGAAGAGACTGAGGCTCCAAGAGTGTAAGTAACTTGCTCAGTTTCACGTAGCTAGTAAATGTTGGAGCCTGTCTTGAATCCAGGCATTTGACCCAGGGGGTTCTTTTTTCTAAGCATTCTGCTTACAAAGTGTTTTGACTTTGTGGAAATTCTATTGGGTAAATGAAAAAAATAAAAAGAAAGAAAAAAGAAATCTGTACTTCTTTCTGGCCCAACTCAGAGCTGGGCATTCAGTAGGCGCTCACTGAACGCTTGTCACATGAGTGAGAGGGTGAGTGACCAGCCCCAGGGAGGCGTCCCCACCTGTGCATAGCGCCCACTGCAGATAGCCCCTCTCCAGTCTGGAACGTTGATGCAGTCTGGGTGCCGGACCAGCCAGTTGTCATCCTTGGTGAGGTAGGAGCCAGGGTACTCGGACACAGAGCCATCAACGTCGTGGAACACGGACGTCTTATCCCCATCCATGTCTAGCTGGTTGAACCAGGGCCCAGGCTCTCCAAAGAACACTCTGGAAGTAATCTAAACAGAGCCCGGGAAAGTTAGGCTGGGCCAGAAGGTGAAAGGAAACTCAGCTGTCATCAGACCAGGGCGAAGTTTCCGATTTCCGCTGACATTACAGACCAGCCAAACCAAAGATGCTCTCGGGCACCGTAGGAAACCACACGGCTGACCTCTCAGATGGGGCCAGAAAAACAGTCAAAGGTTCACTGTGCCTCAACTCCCAGACCCAGCACATAATTCTGGCCTCTGCTCACCGTTGGCTGCTGACAGTGACTTTGGAGACTGCTGTGATGCACAGGCCCAGACTGCAGAGATAGGAATGAGGAGGGGGGACTGAGGAGTGTGAACGTGTGTGTGTGTGTGTGTGTGTGTGTGTGTGTGTGTGTGTGTGTGTGTGTGTGTGTGTGAGCGAGAGGTGGTGCATGTATGAGAAAAAGTGTACACACACACACACACACACACACGTGGGGAGGCCTACATGTGTGAGAGAGAGTGTGGTGTGTGCTGTGTTTCAGGAAGACCATCTTGCAGCACGAACCCTTAGAGATTTCTGTAACTGACTCGTTCAGGCCCCCAGTGGCCTGCGTGAAGAAATTAAGTAATGTTAGCTTCACATCCTCTCCCTCAGCCTGCCAGTAACCAGGCAGACGGGCAAAAGGCGGCAGCAGGGAGGAAGGGGGGGAGGGGAAGGTCTGGGGATCCATGACCCAAAGAAACTGCACCAGGAGGTCTGGACCCACCTGGTCTCACAGGGCAGCCCTTTCTCCTGACTTCCCACCCTCAGCTGCTCTTTTACTGGCTCTGTCTGCGGCCAGGAGGCAGGCCCCTGTTTATATTCTATGTTCAGGGAGAGATTAAACAGATCATCTTCAGCAAAGACTTCTCTTGGAAACGGCAGGGTTTGTTAGATTATTTGTGCCAACTCAGGTGGCCCGGTCAAAGGTGGGTATGTCAACGCCAAGACCCATGGAGGAACAGCCTCAGAAGCTTGAGTCCAGCGTAAGGTTCCTACTGAGGCTCAGTGGGTTTTGAGCAGGGCGAGGGCAAGCGGGCATTTACCCAGACTTGACCTGTGGGGCAACCTAGGCTTGTACTTTTCCAGTTTGGGTGCAGAGCCAACTGGGACACAGCCCAGTCTGCTTGGAGGAGGCTTTTCAACCCCTGCGGCAATGGCAACAGCTCAAACTCCAGGCCCTGGGGGACTTGTGAATCACCATCCAAAGTCTGGGTTTGCCGGGAGTCTGCCCTGGGGCCTCACTCACCGGGACGTCCTCAAAGGCAATGTTGGTCACGTTGTTATGGGGGCAGCTCTGCCAGGCGTTGTTCAGGCGGAAGGCCAGGGCACTGGTGTGCCGGCCCTCCAGGGCCGCAAACTTTCGGAAAGTGCAGTTCTGAATGTTGATGGGGCCATCATAGAACTGAATTCCTCTAATCGGAAAATTCCTATGGAGTTAAGGAAGTCAGATGTCAGTCCGAACGCCATATGGTTTGCCCCTTCTGAGGTGGCTGGTAACAGAGACTCTCTGGGTAAAGCCATTCCTGATCCCACCTGCACAAACTCTCCCACCCCAGATCATTATTATTCATTCATTAACTCACTAAGAAAGCATGCATGAACACAGTGTCAATCAATGATTGCAGGATGAATGACTGGATGGAGCTATGAATAAAAGAATAGCTATCTAGTTGCGGATTTGGGGGACGGTCCTCTATTCAAATGTTTCCCCCGATTTTTCCATCATACAGAGAGTCATTGGGTACATACTGTAAGTGCTATTGGAGAGTGCCAATATTATGTCCCTTGGGAAGACAGAGCTGTTAGTCACTATCGCCTTAGTTTCAGTTGCTGTAACAATTTAATCTGATTAAGACCCAGATGAGTTTCTCCTCTGTGAGTAGGTCTTTCAATGGGCAGTGTGCTGGGTTTGGGAAATGGCGGAAAAGAAGGACACAGAATGGAAGGTGATAAAAATGTGGCAAACACAACTGCAATGCGACTTTTCCAGCATCCCTACAAGAGAGCAGGTTCCGCATGGAATGCAAGACTGTGGACCGACAGGGGACCCCAAGAGGGCCCTGACACCCAGACAGCAGAGGAGGGGAGGTGGGAAGAGGCAACAGGCATGGACATGGAGGCAGGTGGGGCTGCAGAAGGACTGGTGACTTGGAAATGTTGCCTTAGCCTAGCAGGGGACAGTTTGCTCAGAGACGCTCCTCCCATTTTGCCTTGGACTCCTGAGCAGGGCATGGGTAGCAAGCGAGGGGCTGGCTGGGCTTCCTGGTGGTCTTTCTCAGGCCTGGCCCCAAATCTGGGCTTGTTCATTCTCTAAGCCCAACACATATGGTGTCTCTATACCTCTGGGTCAGGCGCCTCTCTCTCCACAGCAAACATAAGGTAAACAGGGTGGAAAGAGGGAAAAGCAAGCAGAAAAGGGACCTGTCCATGAGGAGAGGCCATACCCCAGCTGTCCCCAGTCTTTGACCCTGACTCCCCTCCATCCCAATATGGTTCCTTGAGGAAGTTCCTAGTTACACCTGTCTTAGCAATATGGCTTCAGTGGACACCAAAGACTCCTTGCATTTCTATATTTTTATATTTATAACTGGTTAACATCATTGCCTTGAATCCCAATTCTCATGGGGTAGCTCTATGCATTTTTCCAATTATGGTATTTTAGGGACAGCCCTTTTTTACTAGCTCTATGCTTAAATATTACTATGCTTAAATCATGTGCTTACTTTACCTTCAGACCCTAGCCCAGTTCTGCAAGTGATGAATCAACCATGATTAGTACTACACAGTCCTGGGTTCCTGCTTTCAAATGCAGTTTAAAGAACGTGCCTAAGTCTCACAGAGCTGTTAAGCAGCTGTAAACAAGATCACCTCTGGAAGTCATCAGAACATTCTGGCCCTGGGAGGTTGGTAACCCTCTACAATGAAATCCCAAATATGCAGACCCAAAGTTGCTCATAAAAATCATAGAAAGGACTGCTGTATCACTTAGGTTAGATGGAAGCAAGGGCTTCTCAACAGTGCATGCCAAAGGAGACCATGATTCTTGGGTTGGAAGTTTTAGGTCTATGTATATTTTGTGTCCTGACTCTAGTGGCAGGAATTTTATTTCCCTAGAGAAAGAGAAAAATGTTCAAGGAGGCAAGAAGAGCTGATCTCATCATTCAGAGAACAGGAAGCACCATGCTGCTTGCGGCTCAGAGCCTTGCTCTCTGGCTTGAATGCACATTTCAGCATAAACACCAGCAGAAGGGAAGAGGCTTTCTCACCACTGACCAGGAAATTGACTGAGACCATTTACTCTGTTAGCTCACTAATTCTCCAAGTCACCCACTCCCCTGTCCAACCACCTTGGTTATCATCATCCAACCTTCATTTAACCTCCTCAAGCAACAGAGTCCACAACACTCAGGACAGCCCTGCCACTCTGTTGTTGAGCAAATCCGACTGTTAGAAAAATCTTTCCTGCACTAAATCAATTCCAACCCTCAGGGCCATGAAGAATGACTTTTGTCTCCTATGCACATGGAAGTCCTGAGTGTGTGACAACATTTCCTATGTTGTCCTCCCAAAGATGATCCCATCTCCTGGTGGAAGATCCCAATCTGCATGTGACATGGCTTAGGGTTCTGTCACCCTCGTGGTCATTCTCCTTTAAGTGTGCTTTGGCCTTCCTCTCTCACTGTCCTATCCTCCGAAGTGGATAAAATACTCCAAATGACTGTGCCATCAGAGAATGGGACTCGTGGACCCTGCTCCCGGACAACAAATGCCCGTTAGCGTGGACCAGGACCACACTGTGCATTTTGATGGCCATCTCACCCTGTTGACGCATATTCAACACTATTTTTTGATATCTCTCTCCCCATTCCAGATTTTACCCCGAAGTTGTTAGTCTCAATTGCTTTGGTGATTTCTGTTTTTGTAGAGGACAGAGAGTTCATAGTCTGCAGGAACAAATCACCCACGACCTTCTTTCCTTCCACTGCTGCCACTTAGGGTAAGCCACACAGAACAGGAAGCTACCGTGGTCGCAAACCTACTGGCCTATAGGGAGGGTCCTTCCGCTGTGGTCCACGCCGCCCGGGCCCCAGATCCTATTGTCCATCATTTCCGTCCCCACGTTGCCACTCTCGCCAACAAACAAGCTGTTCTTTATCTCCTGCTTGGAGCCATCATCATATGGGAAGGTTCCACCACTGTAGAAAGAAGATGTTTGGCATGACATGTGCAGAGACGTGTCCCACAGAGGGTCAAGCACAATGACGGCTGCTCTTACCTGGCCAGGGTCAGGCCAATGCCATTGTCAGCAAACCTGGGGACAAGAGCAGACAGTCAGAGCATGCTCTGGCTCCATATTCAGTGACGTTTTGGAGGGAAGGACCCTCTCCTGCCCCTGGAGTCAAACTGTGGACACTGTTTGGGAAGGAGTCTTTATATAAGCAGAGGCTTTGCTGAGGGAATGGGGACCCTTCCATTCTGCACAGTAGGGAATATTGTAGGTCCTCTCGCATTCAGTCTCTTACTCTGGAGAGAAACAGTGACCCAGTGGCCCTCAGCATTTGAAGACACGTTGCATTAGCAGCATGCAGACTGGGGTTGTGGGCTGCCCTCCCCAGCCCACCAGCATCTGTGTTTCCAGGGCTCAGTGGGAGGCTGGAGCCCACTTCACTGATGCACTCTCAGGATGAGCCCTGGATAAACGTGGGGTATGTGGATGCCACTCCATTGTCCCTGTGCCATCCTAACTACCAGCCCTAGCAAGAAGCACAGGTTTCCCAGAAGTTTGGCAGATGCTGGCCCTGAGAAGGGCAGGAAGTAATTTCAGGATTGCACTGTGGCCATCTCAATCAGCTCCCTTTTGCCTCGGCCGTTTGTAAGAATCGGGATGAGCACACTACCGGAGAGAGTCTGGTTGTGAGTGACAGGGAACCACACAGAATCTGAGCCGAGCCAGGGGTCTGTGCTACCACAGACGCTAGGGCCAAACATGGTGGCCGCCTGCACCCCCTCCGCCCCGGGAGCAGGTGTACCTGTTCTCCATGCCTCTGCTCCCTCCACCTGTCCTGCACACCCTGCTGGGCTCGTCTCCTCAAAGCACCATTCTCACCATTCACCCTCTGCTTCCTAAATCTCCAGCGGCTTGGTATCATCCATGAACCCAAGCCCAAGTCCTTACCCTCGCATGGGAGGCCCTGGTGCTCTGCTCCTGTGCACCAGGCTGGTCCTGCTCACCTGCACGCACTCTAGTTCCTGGCCTGCTTTTGTACCCTGCTCACTGTTTCAGGACTCTGCTCTTTCCCCTTTTCTCTCAAGCCCACCCAGGTCAAATCAATCATTCAAGGCTCATCTATCTAGGGCATCGTGCATCCAGTTCTTTTCCAAAGCAGCCTGATTCTCGTCTCCCAGATCCCGTCGTGGCTTTTCCTCATCGTTGCTGTTCCCCAGTGCTCTGCCCGCGGTCTCCCCAATTCTCCACCGTGTCCCCGGGAACCTCATGGGGACACAGCTTCCATCCCCACCGATCTCCTGATGGCTCTAAAGTCGGTCACTCTTCCTCTGCCTGCCCTTCCACTTTTTGTGGAAATTTTGGGGCATTTCCTCTGAATGTTTCACAAGCATCTCAAATTCAATCTGTCTAGAACAATATGAGGGTACTTCAAAACGTTCATGGAAAGATTCTTATTATCTTTTAGTTCTATTTTCCCACGAACTTCTTGAAGTACCCTCGTACAATGATCTTCAGTCCAAGCCTGTTCACTAGCCCGCCATCTGTGTTACAGCCG